AGAGGGAGAAGCAGGCTTCCCGCTGAGCAGGGAGCCCGATGCAGGGCTCGATCCCAGGACCCTGGGACCACGACCTGAGCCGAAGGCAGACGCTTAACGACTGAGCCACCCAGGCACCCCAAGACTGTGTTTTATTTTTTGAGATAAGGACTCTTGAAAGACTTGTAAATACCCTTACCCTAGCTAAAACTGGAGGAACTCTGGAGCATCCTCATGTCCACGCTCTCCTAAAAGGTTTTCAGAGTTGGTTGTTCAAATTGCGCTCCAGCTGAGGTCCGTGTCTGGTTGGCGTATCCTTCAGAGGGCTGTGACAGCCCCCGCCGCGTCACGTTGGTGACAGAGCGGGGGCCAGGCAGCGTCTGTGCCTTGCTGGGGGGAGCTGCTGGGCCAGGCCTCTGCTGTCTGCCTTGGTGCGGCCACAAAGCTGCAGCTGGCCGGGGCCTTGCCCGCCCTGAGCTGGAGCCTGTCTCTGCAGGGTCGTCTCCTACCAGATCCGATATGAAGGAAACGTGACCGAAGAGACCAGAATCAAGTTCATGACGGATGGTGTGTTGCTCAAGGAAATCCAGAAGGTTGGTCGCTCATCTTGTCTCACAAAGCAAGGCCGATGAGCATGGGGTGGGGAGTCCGCGTGTCACCGTGCGAGGTGAGCAGTTGGCATGCCGCCCGCCGGCAAAGCCCCACACGGCGCGGCGCCACTGTGTGACCGTGGGCAAGTTACTTAACCTCTCTGAGCCTCAGCTTCTTGATCTGCAAGCCTGTACTTTTCTCATATAATTGTTTCGAAGCAGAAATTTTATGACGCGTGGACGCACCTTAGCGTAACACCTAGAAGGTGCTCCTTACACGTAAACTCATGTTACTGTGATTTGGTTCACAGACTCTGTGCCTCAGCCACATGCGTACCGCTCCTTGCTGGCTGTGTGACGTCCACCTGGGCAGGGACCTCTGGGGAGGGCAGAGGTGACGCCTGCCTCTGCCAGGACACCAGCTGGGGTCACCCAGGAAGGTGGCTATGAATGTGGCTCCGGTGTGGTCGAATACGGCTGCTTTACGTCTGGCGTACGCTGTCTGGTTGCCCTCGGTCCCGCCCGCCACCTCCTCGTTTCTGTTTCCTGCCTGCCCTCCCTGCCCTACGGGCAATCTGGATTTGGTAGCTGGGCTCTAATGCATGGTAGCTGCCCTTTCTCCGGCAATTTCTCTGCCGGGTTCCGGGCCCCAGGCCGTGCACCTTACAGATGGTGATTGTCATGGAAACCTCGCTGTGACCCCGTGAGGTGGGTCCTGTTGCCCCATCTTACAGATGGAGAAACGGGCACAGGGAGGCGAAGTAGCTTGCCTGAGGTCACGGACCAGGTGCTCCAGGATCCATGCGAGCTGTGACGGGCTCCTTGAGGGGGAGCTGTGGGGTGTGAGTGACCCTGGAGCGGCTCGGGCCCGGGCTGGCAGGCCTCACCACGCTGCCTCTCCCCAGGACTTCCTGCTGCAGAGATACAAGGTGGTGCTCATTGATGAAGCCCACGAGAGGAGCGTGTACACGGACATCCTCATCGGCCTCCTGTCCCGCATAGTGTCTCTCCGGGCGAAGGTAGGGCAAGGGGGCGGGGGGAAGGGGGGAGCCAGGGAACCCCCCGAAGGCCAAGGGCGGGGCTCCTGCACCTTGTCGGGAGCATGGGCTCCCTGAGCCCAGCGCCAGGACTGTGGCTGTCCATATCAACAGCCCCTGTGGGACTCCACCCTATAGAAATCTAGCCTTGTGAGCTGCTGCCCTTCCCTCCGTCACCGAGTCTGTCATCCCCCAGAGGCACGTGCCGCTGAAGCTGCTCATCATGTCGGCCACGCTGCGGGTGGAGGACTTCACCCAGAACCAGCGGCTCTTCCCCCAGCCGCCCCCGGTCATCAAGGTAGTGCCCGGGCCAGAGCCTCGGGCTGGCGGGGGCAAGCGGGGCCTGTCGGCGTTGACAGTCGGATGCCTGGTTGGAGGAGGCTGAGCACTTGGGGGGGGCCCCTCTCTGCCGGTGGAGGCCCCACTCTGGGGAGTGAGTGCTGGGAGGCGTTAGGGAACTGCTCGTGCTGAGCTAGAAGCTCTGAGGTTGGACAGGCCAGGGAAGGGGGAGGTACCAGGCCGCGGCGGAGGCTCAGCGCGCGGCCCCGGTGCCTCCTTGGGGGGTGTCCCAGGTGGAGTCCAGGCAGTTCCCGGTGACGGTGCACTTCAACAAGCGGACCCCGCTAGAAGACTACAGCGGCGAGTGCTTCCGGAAGGTCTGCAAGATCCACCGCATGCTGCCAGCAGGTGAGGCCTTGGGGACCAGAAAGGCCGGACCTGCCCTCGAACCCCCGGCGTGCAGGCTCGGGGTTCCGGGCCTCCCGGTCACTGCTCTTTTCCCGTGGGGCACCCTTCCCCTGGTGGTGGACCGTCCATAATATAAGCTTTACATCCTAACTGTTTGTAAGTGTGCAATCCGGTGGCATTTCGGGCGTTCACAACACAGGCAGGCTCCGTTTGCTGTGCTTGGCTTTATCGGCCTCCACAGACACTGCATTTTTTTCACAAACTGAAGGTTTGTGGGCAACCCTGAATAATCAAGCAAGTGTGTCCGTCCTGTTTTTCCAACAGCGCTAGCTCACTTCCTGTGTCAAACATCCTGGTAATTCTCGCAGTATTTCAGACTTTTTCATTATCACGTTTGTTACAGCGATCTGTGGTCCGGGATTACGGCTCGCCAAAAGCTCAGGTGACGGTTAGCAGTTTTTAGTAAGAAGGTATTTTTAGTTAAGGGGTAGGAGTTGGTTTTTAGAAGTGATGCTATTACATACTTACTGGGTTACAGCGTGGCGTCCACGTAACTTTCATAGGCCCCGGGAAAGCAGACATATTGGCCGTATTGGGGTGGTCTGGAAGCAGACCCGCAGCGCCCCTGAGGTGTGCGTGTGCGGTGCAGCCATCCCTGCCGTCCCTCTGCAGAGCGTTTTCGTCACCACCGGCAGAAGCTCCATCCCCACTAAACGCAAACTCTCCTCCCCCTCCCCGGCCCCTACCATTCGACTTGCTGCGTCTCCGCCTTCACCCATCCTGGACGTTTTATACGGACAGACTTAGGCGATATGTGGGCTTCCGTGCCTGGCTTCTTTCACGGAGCATCTCGTCCCTGAGGTTCATCCATGTCGTGGTGGGTGTCCGCGCGTCACTCCTGCGTGTGGTGGGACCACGTTCTGCTGTGTGGATGGGCCACATCCTGTCTAGCTGTTCACCAGTTCGCGGACACTTGGGTGGCTTCCCCTTCCTGGCTGTCGTGAACAGAGCTGCCATGAGCATCCACGTGCAGTTTTGGGCTGCGTCCCTCTCTCTGGGTTTCCTGGGCTCACGCCGAGGAGTCGAGCAGCCAGGTCGTGCAGGAGCTCTGTCCAGCTCCCTGTCACACGTCCCCCGTGTGGGAGGCCGCTGTCCGCTGCTCATCTGCGTCTCTCAGGGCTGCTGTGACCGGCTCTTCCTCACGCCCAGCTCTCGGCAGCCTGCTCCGGGAATGCACGCATAGCAGAGGAGTCTCGCTCTTTCCACAGGCGGCATCCTGGTGTTCCTGACGGGGCGGGCAGAGGTGCACGCACTGTGCTGCAGGCTGAGGAGAGCCTTCCCACGCCCCAGACGCAGGCCGCCAGGTAACCGGCAGCGCTTGGCCCCGAGAGCCGGCGGGTGGTCAGCCTCCCTGTGTGAGAGCCGGCGCCTTTGCCTGCCCGACCGTTCCCCGAGGAATGGCCAACGGTGGGCGCCTGGGTGGCTCAGTCGGGGAAGCGTCTGCCTACAGCTCGGGTCGTGATCCCGGAGTTCTGGGATCGAGCCCCGCATCGGGCTCCCTGCTCAGCAGCGGGTCTGCTTCTCCCTCTGCCCCTGCAGCTCCCTCTGCTTGTGCGAGCACATGCGTGCACACGTGCTCTGTCGCTCTCGCTGTTTCACTCTCCCAAATAAATAATTAAAATCTTTAAGAGAAAGAAAGAAATGGCCAGCAGTGCAGCGACCTTACTCTGGACGGCGAAGAACAGAGTCCTCGTAGCCTGGGTCTGGCCTCAAGGTATCTTCCTCAATCTGTTCCTCTTGCAGAAAAAGAAGATCAAGAAGATTCAGTAGAGGAAATGCGGAGGTTTAAGAAGTCAAGGACAAGGGCAAAGAAGGCCCAGGCGGCGGTACGTAGGGGCTCGTGTGGTAGGGGCAGCTCGGGGCTCTGAAGCGGCCTTGTTTCTACGGTGGCTCACAGCCCCATGAGGCTGTGTAGAGGCACATTTAACTAAAATGAAATAAGATTAAAATTCAGTTCCACAGTCACATCAGACATGTTTCAGGGGCTCAGTAGCCACCTGGGGCTGCTGGTGACCGTATTGGGCACACGGGGTCTGAAATATTCCTACCATGGAAGGGAGTTCTGTTGGATGGTGTGGCTCCAGAGCCCGCAGGGTGGGCTGTGATTTGAAATGTTTAAGGTTCCCTGTGCTGTGGGCCAGGAGGAAGCTTCTGGAAGGCTGGCCCTGAGCAAGGCCTGTGAGGATCTCTGGGAGGGCAAACAGAACAAGGACATGGGGTCCCTGGTGTTGGCTGTAGAACTGGGGAGGGGGGGTGCTTTCCCCTGGTGTCCCCACGTTGTCATGGATCCATGGGTAACAGCTTTCTCATTTGGAGGTCACTAACCCCCCTGCTGCGTTTAGGACCCGCCAGGTGGCACTCTAAGTGCCTTCCGAATGTTGCCTCGGTCCTCACGGCAGGCCTGCGGCCGTGTGCGATGAGTCCTATGGTTATCCCGAGTGTTAGGGCAAGGACGGTTGCCAGAGCTGCCCGAGGCCTCATGGCTCATGGGTGGGGGGATGGGGCCTTGTGCTGGAACGCGCTTGTCTTTCCTGACTGTGATCTGCGTCTCCTGCAGTCTGTGGTTCTGACGTCTTGTTTGCCGTAGACATTGCCCCAGATCAGTTTGGACAATTACTCGGTGTTGCCAGCAGGCGAAGGCGACGAGGACAGGGAGGCAGAGATGGACGAGGAGGAGGAGGAGGAGGCCCTGGGCTCCGACCTTGACCTGGATTTGGGGGATGATGAATCAGTCGGAGGTGTGGCCTGGGCGGAGCCCCTGCTCACGCTCCTTTGGTCATTCACTCGGCCCGTGTCTGTTGAGCGCCTGCTGTATACCAGGCCCCGTTGTTAGGCCCAGACGTCTTTGTCTCGAGCCTCAGGAGATCTGGGCTTGCTGCCGCTTTGTGCCTACTGTTTGCTGAGCTCCTTCAACTGCCTGGCAAAGTAGACCCTCAGATATTTGTAGTGTTGATTGTAATGGGGGTGCTCAGCTTTGCTGGGTAAACGCAGGCCTCAGGGCTGGCTGGGAGGGCTGCCCAGTTCTGGGACCCCTGTTCGGAGATGGGTCCAGGGCTGCATGGGGTCTCCGGAGGGCATGAGGTGGGGAATGCCCAGGTGGGAATGCCTGCCAGACTCATGGCCAGACTTCCGAGAAGGCGGGCATTCCCCACCTGGATCAGGATCATGGAGCCTCTCAGACTGTGACCCAGACTGTGCTCACCCGCTGTGCTGGTCTGGAAGGTAGAGGCCCCTGGCAGCAGGCAGAACAGGTCGGGGGGGCACTGGGCAGCCTGAGGAGGGCACCTGCCGTGGGCGTTTGGGAGTGGCAGCAGGCCTGTGCTTTCCCTGCAGGTGAGCAGCCGGACGCCTCGCTCCCCCTCCACGTGCTCCCACTCTACTCTTTGCTGGCCCCAGAGAAGCAAGCTCAGGTAACAGCGTGGGGCCTCGGGAGGATGCTGGGTGGATGCTTGGCTGGGGGCACCATCCTGCCTCTTGGGGGCACCTCCTCAGGGCATCGAGAGAAGGGCAGGGCAGGCCCTGGGTTGTCCTTGTCATCAGATCAGCACCCCGTTTTAAAAGGGTGTTGGGATCTCTTTGGAGAACAGGAATGCTTCCCTGCATTTATGCTGAGGAGCGCTGGGGCCCGAGGCAAGGAGAGGGCTTGTCACCCTCGCCACCTCTGGGGTCCCATCCAGCCTGGCCTGACTTCTCTGTGATCAAGAGAAATTTCCTGGCTCCCCCTCTGACCCCCACCCGCATGTGTCGCACAAATTCTTTCCTGATTCTGGTGGTTTTTGGCTGCTTCCCCTCCCCCACAATCCCAGGTCTTCCAGCCTCCCCCAGAGGGGACGCGGCTGTGTGTTGTGGCCACCAACGTGGCCGAGACGTCCCTCACCATCCCGGGCATCAAGTACGTGGTGGACTGTGGGAAGGTCAAGAAGCGGCACTACGACCGTGTCACTGGCGTGTCCTCCTTCCGTGTCTCCTGGGTGTCCCAGGCCTCAGCCGATCAGCGGGCGGGCCGAGCGGGCCGGACAGAGCCGGGCCACTGCTACAGGTGGGCTTCCCTGGGCCTCTCCAGTGATGGGGGAGGGGGGCGGGAAGTCACCGTGCAGCAGCCACCACCAGGGACAAGGAAGGGGGGTCCCCTCCCCAGTCCACAGCGAGTGCCGTTCCACTGGAGACAGTCCTTGGGGTCTCTGCGGGGCCTCGTTGGCACTCGGACACTTGTGTTCTTTCTTTAATCTGACTCCGAAGTAGACACTTACTTTTAGTGGCTTTCTTTTTGTTTTATTTTGCGACAGCTTCATGGCGGTGAAGTTAACCTACCAGACAGAAATGTCGCCGTTCTGGGGGGTGTAGTGTTCTCGGGGTGTGCAGCATCACCCAGCCCGTACCCAATGTTCTCATCACTCCGAAAGAGGCCCGCACCCCCCTCCCGTCCCCACTCTTGGGCATGTGTCTCCATCTCCCCGGGTCCGTCCCTGGGGAGGGGTTGCTGGGTCCCGTGGCCACTCTGCCACGCTGGGTCCTGCAGCAGCTACACCATGTGGCACTCCCACCAGCGCACAAAGGTTTTCCCTGGTTGCCCCATGTTCTCACTGACACCTGTTATTTTTCCATGTTTTTTTAAACCGGAAGTGTGCCGTGGTGATGTGCTGCGGTCCTGGTCTGCGTGTCCCTGATGGCTGGTGACCCTGCACGTCTTTTCCTGTGCTTATTGGCCATTCGTTTATGTTTTTTGGAGAAAT